TAATGCGTGTCTGTCGCTTCCCTTTCGCCCCCACCACCACCACCACCGCAGCGGCAGCAGCAGCGTGCCGACGGCGGTAGATGGCGTTGCCAGGGGGGGAAGAAAGGCAGCAGACAAAAAAAAGTAAAGAGAGAAAGAAGAAAAATACATACAACGGCAAAAGCAAAAACAAAAATAGTAGTAATAACAATTAATAATAATAATAATAATAATAATGAAAAAAGGGGGAGGGGTCGAGAGAGACGGTTATTGCCCTCACAACATCTGCAACTACAGTTGCTCCGCCGCCGCAAAAAAGCGCGCATATGCGCATCTGCCTGGATTGAAAATACAAACCCAAAATGTGGGAATAGGAAAATGGAGAAAAGCAAATAATCATGGAAAAAAAAACAATAAAAATAACATATAATAAAAGCATGAGAGCCAAGAAAAAATACAAATCATTCAGGCCATCACGGCAGCTGGAATACAGTGACCGATGAGAATAACAGCGGGGGCCCGAGCAAACGGAAGGGCGGGGGGTACGCGCAGCAGCAAGCAAGTAAGTATTGGAAACGGTGGTGTGGGTGGCCTGAGCCCCCCAAGAGACACACCCAGTGAAGAAAGAGAAGAAAGCAAAACAAGATAAAACAAAACTTTGTGTACCCCCCAAATCGGGGAGATACACCAACGCCAACGATCCGTCGCAACGATGTAACTCATAACCCACGCCAAAAGCGCCGCATTTCATCTTCCCTAAATGTGACGGAACTGACTTATTCCTTTCCCCCACTTCTCTCCATTACTCTTGTAATCCTCAAACTTGCCTACATAGTGGTTCCTAACTAGCCAAACAAGAAAAACCGCAGCGGTGAACTTCGCAGGCGCCTCCACTTCTCTCCTCCCCACTCGAGGAGGGTGCAGCTGCCTTTTCATCACCCGGCATACAGCAGTATAGAGAGAGGCTTTTTTTTTGACTTTTTTTTTAACATTATGTTTTCGTTTTTGGTGTAAAAAGAAAAGGGCCTTTGATTCCCTTTTCATTCGTTGCTTCTTCCGATGCTAGTCACACAGCTACTTAGTATGCAGCAATTTTCTTCTCTCTTCCTAGGAGGTGCGACTGTAATATCTGGCTGCTACGCACCACACTGGTGATGTAGCATACATTGTCAAGGACGGCGTAGCACGTCGAAGTTGGCAAGAAGAACGTCCGATCTGGCTGTTCCGAGGACTCCTGCAGGAGATGATACTCCTGCAGGTAGAGGGCAGAGCGCAGTTCACGTCGAAGGAACACTTCCGGGAGGGGACCAACGAGAAAAAAGTTGGCCACCCCCATTTCAGCTTCACTGTTATCATCGTTTCTGGCGAGCCCGTCTTCCAACGCCTGCTCGTGTGCCTCCGCCACTTTTTCCCAGTACGCTTGCTCCAACTCGGCACGCACCTTGCGATAGTTTAATTCCACACGGGCATCCACGCACAACTTGTGGCGTCGAAACACGCGCTGAATCTTCACCACCTCACCCTTCCAGCGACGAAACTCCATCAAAGGCAGCCGCCACCCGTTACACAGAAATGCACGGATCACCTCGATGGCGACATCGTTCACACGACGGCGGCGACGGGAAGGAACACGCACACTGCCTTTGTAGACCTTTACCGGCTTCGTGCGAAGTTTCTTCAAGTGCATGTATAAACGCCAGCAAGGGAGGAACAGGCGCTCCAACGTTTCTACTGCACGTTCCTCTTTACTTTTTACAGCTGCATCTAAGGGCGGCGTCTCCACCGTGGTCTGCATGGGTTCCTCATGGTTCGTGAGGCACACAGCGTCTTCAGACCAATTCAAAGCGTCACTCTTAATCTCGCTGGTTGTGGCCGCCCTTGTGGAAAGGATCGTCGCGAGAGTCGCATCGATACGATTCGCCTTATTTGTGCTGCTTTGGTCACGAGCTCCAAGGAGAGGGAGCTTCACAGTTGCCAGGATACCTTGTCGGAGGGTGTCTTTCCAGGCGGGCACTGCGCCTAACCTGCGATGAAGACGCGCCGCACCATTCCTCTCCGGCAGCGTAGATGGCAGAGCCTTATTTAGCTTCAGCGGCGGAAGCTCGATGCGGCCTACCATGAAGTTCGTAACTTGGTTACGCCGTGGCGTAAAACCCGGCCGCATCAGCTCGTGTGTGTGCTTCATGCGAGCCAACTCGTCCTCGTGGAAGAAAGTTCCGATGGAACGACGGCTTTTGTACGTCGATCGCATTTTATGTACCCTCCTAACGAAACGCGAAAGCCAAAGCGCTGCCTATTACCCGGCTGAAAGCAGAATAGAGAAAGAGATAGGGAGAGAGAGAGGAAGTGAAACAAGTCCAGACATCCCTTCCTCCTCTCCTCCAAGCAATAAAGGGAGTTGAGCTGTCGAACGCGCTCCACTTGGCGGCAAAACAAGGAGAAAAAGAAAAAGCCCTTCGTCTCGTCTCGTCTCATCTTTCTTTTTCTTTTTCGTTACCTTCGCTCTTACAGTGGACGTCATTAGGAGATGCTTCCGATGTGTAGTTGCTGTTGTTGTTTATCTGCCTCATGCTGCCTTTTTTCTTTCTTTCCCGCGTTCCTTTCTTGTCTTTTTGTTTTGTTTTTGCTTTCCTTTTCCTCGTTCGTGTGGATGATTTCTTCGCCACTCCTCTTCCTCGTATTCGCAGAAATCCTTCATACGCCAACGGCTGCACCTCTGCCCCTCCCAACCTCCCGCTGAGGCCGCATGCCACACATGCGACCACCGGCCGGAGAAGAGGGGGCAGGGAGAGGGAAAGGGCACAACTGCCGCGGGTGACGGCAACCCGCCGCCCCCCGTCTTGTTATTTCCCCTGCAGGAGCAACTGTGGGGCATTCTCGTACGCCCATTTATGGCAACCCTGCGTGAACTCAAGCTCCTCCGCGAGAGACTTGAACACCTTCCCGTAATCCACCGGCTGTTGTGGGTTGGCGCCACTCATTTGGGACAACATCAGTGCCTGCTCGCCGCCATCCGCATCTGCGCCAAGCAACAATTGCAGGATGCCGTTGGAGCCAAACATAATCAGAAAGTACATGCTGAGAGACGTCACGTAATTGCAATCAAGGTTGATGATGTCTACGCCGCTTTGCATCATGCCACGAAACCGTGAGGCAAGTCCAAATGGAAATTTGGCCACCACAAACCCAGAGAAGAAGTAAGAAACCAGCATCATCATACCCATGTTTGGCACCATCATGAGAATGTTGTTCTTCATCATTTCTCCCATCATAGAGGGATCGTTCATCATCTCCATAGCGTCCAGCTCAACCTTTTTCTGCAGCGGGCCTTGCCGCATTGCCTCCGCGCGCCGTTGAAATGCCTCCGGTGAGAGCGCTTTGCCCTCCCCCAGAAGTAGCCTGCCGTAGTTCGCTATGTTAACACAGCACATTTTATTTATCTTGGGCTTTGGGGGCGACTTCATGAGGAGGCCGGCGTAGTGGCGCAACATGCCAACGAAAATGACGATGGCGATGAGGGGAAAAAGCACCCAGTCACGGATGTTGGAGTCAAGCAAAATGTTCTGCGACATCGAAGAAATCGTACTCGCTAAGTTTCTTCCGTCCGCGCCAACCGCAATAAGCAAAGAAGCAAACAAACAAGCAAGGAAAAGAGTCAAGAGAAACATGAGGCAGACACACACACACACACACACACATACATACACAGAGAGAGAAAGATAGGTAGATGGAAGCAAACAGAAGAACCACAAAGCAAAGAAAACCACAATCAAATTGGTCTGAGAGTTTACAAAAAGTGATAGTCAGTTCAACATTTCAGCGGTCTCACTCCTCACCGACAGCTTTCTTGACTTCGTGAAACCCCATTTTTGCAGGCGTGGCAGTTGCCCTGCAGTATTCCACCTCCCCATCAAAGGGAGGCGGCCGCGTTATTTGTGGGGTCGACGTCAGGAAATATAATTTTGGTATATTTTGAAAGGCGCTTGCGGTATTCCATGGGTGGAATGGTTGAAAGTGTTTCAGACTTCCACAGGAAGGACTTGAAAAAGTTAGCCATCATCTTTTTCCACGTGTATTTTGTCAGCGTATCTATAATCCCAATATAATAAACTTCCTGTTCGTATAAACTATTCACGCCTGCGCTAAACTCGTGATATGCCTGGTCCACCCGCGGTGGAGACGTCGGACGAATCTCCATGAGAGTCTGCGTCGGCTCGCTGCCCATTGGAAACGTCATGCGCATACTACGTATCTGCCTGCCGGAGCGCGACACTTTAGACTCGTTGTACGTGACACCGATCAAAAGTGAGTAGTCCATGACTCCCGCGTTGCCCAGAAATTCATAGTCCTTCAAAAGGGCATGAATCAGTTTCTTCCGTTTTTGCCGTTCCAGCCAGAAGAGACGCGTAAGGTCCTTGTCTTTGCGAGTTGCCAGCTTGTGGCGGTCAGCGGCGGCGACGACCACCACCTGCCCCTCCAGCGATCCCGTCAATTCAGGAACATTGATGGTTTCACGCGGGGTCTCAATAAGGTACGGGTGCGGCTCCCCCGGGCGTTGGATGAGCTTCAGGAAGTGCTGGTACTTGCCGGGCTTTGGTATGCGACCCTTCAGGTCCCACTTCTCGTTCAACGCGGGACACGACGCAAAGACGTCCCCAAAGCAAATAATAAACCCCACTCCGGCGCCGCTCTCTACCTTAAGGAGCATCGAAAAGCGAGTCAGCAACGTGTTGGTGTTACGTGAAAGGTGTTCCGTGTACTGCGGCAGTAGTCCCAGCAGCACCTCCACCTCCTCCTCCGCGATTGTTTTGCACATTAGATCCATTGACTTGGACTTGAGGAAAAGTGCCATGGAGCGCCCCTCGCCAAGCTCCAAGGCCAGCCGATCCTCCGGCAGCTTCCACTCGTTCGCAAAGCTATCCTCATCAAAACCATCAAGTTGCCGTAGGAAACGAAACACCTCTGGCGCATACTCATGCACCTCCACCATCTCCTTTTGCCCTCCACTGTTTGAGACCTCAAAACGCAGTGCTCGTCTCTCCTGGTACTTCTCAATTCCTAGCTCCTCCAGCGTCTGGATGACTCCACTTACGGTGCGCTGTCTAGAAAAGGGCGAATTCTCCTCCGCCCTCAAACGATCACGATGACTCTGCAGTTGAGCATCGGCAGTAGCAGTCAGTGCTCCGGCAACCTGCCGCCCAGTGAGGCCACGACCGCTCGTGGCGGTTCCCCCGATGGAGTGGGAAGTCCCCATCCCCAACAGCGTAAATGGAAAAGAAGGAAGGCGGAATTAAAAAAAAAAGAGAGAGTGGGGTGGGGGTGGGGGGATACAAATAAACAATACGAATGATGTGCCTGGGTGAGGCAGTGTCGCTCCTATTTGTACAACGAGACGGTAGAAGAATGGGAGGAAACGGCTTGGTTCAGTGTGCGCCCGACAGACAGCGTGAGCAGCGCCCAGAGGAATAAGGCATTTTTTAAAAAAAAACTTATGCATCTACACATATAGACGTACATTTATACAAATGTACCGAGCATCTGGCAGCAGCAAAAGCTGCACATAAAAAAGGCAATAACAAAAGAAAAGCAACGCACCAAAGTCGAATAACTGATTTTAAAAAAAAAAGAAGACACTGTGGAAGAGGCAACGATAATAAATTCCTACACTTGAACACTTCGACTGAGACGATTCGATGCGCTGCATCACCATTGCCGCTATCAGCACGACCAAGCGGGCGAGCGAGCGAGTGAGAAACAAAAAAGCACCCGCCCACACCCAAATGCACACACACACAGTCGCACTAGGAGTAAAATCAATAGCCCCCTTGATCACCAAAACGTTCGCTGATATCGTTGTTAAATGGGTTAACTGGCGGCACAATGCCCAGGTCGACAGTTTTATTGAACAAGTATTCACCCAAAAGCGCACTACCGAGTTGCGAGGGATGAAAACCATCAACGGGCTCAATGAGTTTCCAGCGGGGCCCGTTAAACGCACGAAGCGTACCCGCAATAACATCATCAAAAGCATGAACCTGGATGTTTTTGAATTTTGCCGCGGATTCGTTTAGAATGCGAGGTATTTGCGCGTTCAGCAACTGAGCCGCCTTCCAGGTGGCATTACGGACTGTTTCGTTGGTATTAAGCCAACCCCAACAAGGGGAAACTTCAACGCAATTCAAGAAATCATAAAAATTGGCGTACGTTACATCCTGATGAAGGCTCCCTATTGGATGTGTGCGATTGTGCATTTCGTCGTACAAAACACGTCCATCCGCGACAGGAGATATCAAAACATGACTTCCAGCTGGCAGTAGAGCCTCAGCCTTTTCCAGGGCAGTGGTTAGGTGCGCGTAATACGCTGCGGGCGTGGTGGCGCCGGGAGGACGATCGCACACGTCATTCCCAATCATCGAGAAAAACACAAACACCGGCTTGACAGAATTAGTTCGGTTTCGCGCGACAAAATCCATCATTTCAATGAGCCGTGCGGTTGAGGCACCGTTCACGCCGAGATTCTGGTAGTCTCGATGGTTACATTTATTTCTTTTCACCAACTCGCTGTACACGGACCTCATGGGACCCTCGCGATTCGGTTTGTAATCCGACGCAGGGGCAAAACCAGTGATGGCCGAAAGCATCGGCCAATCGAACTCATTATCGATGACGCGGGTAATATTCGCCAAGGCGGCACGCGATAGTTCCTGGATCGTCACAAAACCGCTTGGGATACCAAAGTGCGCCGTGACGCTGTCCCCCAGCGCAATCACGCCCATTGGCGAGGAGTTGCGGCACCACAATTCCTCGTACGTTTTTCCTGTGGCGCCGTCCACTCCAAAAACACCATTGCAGTTCTCGTCCCTGACAGCGTCCAGGGTGTTGCGGCCGGGGTACACCGCGGGGTCCTTGTCATCGCAGTCGCGGCCCCGCCAATCGCCCCCGCGTTTGGCGCGCTGAGTGGAGAAGAGATCCCCGTCGGCGTCGTGTGCGGGGCGCAGGTCACTCTTCACCGGACACACCTCCGGGAAGACGGCACACACACGTACTGGCGTGACATGCTCGAGGCGGTACCTTCGCCGCAAGGCGCTCACCGACGCCGTGTCGTGGCCGGGGGGAAAAAGATGGCACCTCGCGTCCGCGCAATACGCCAAGGCCTGGCACACCACGTCAGCGGTCTTGTTAGCATCGATGAGAGGCAAGGCGCCGTGAAACAGGATAAGACTGGCGAGCCGACACAAAATGGCCTCCCCAAGAGAAAAAAAACCACAAAACATTTTGAGCGCCTCCCCCGCAGAAACTCCATGCAACTGCTTGAGCTGTGACACCAGCCCAGCAACGAAGGTGCACACAACACAGCCCCACTTCGTTTTCGCCCCACCCTCCTCCGTCGTCGAAGCATTTGAGCCATCGCCCACAATAATCCGCGCCTCCCCAAGCAAAGCCGAAAGCAAAAGGAGGAGCGTAGCCGCCAAAACCACGCAGCGCCGTAAGCGGGACCGCATCACTTGCGCTCACGCCCGAGAAACACTTTGGAATAAAAGCAACTTCAACGCGGACACACTGAGAAGTACTCTACAAGCAACCAAAGCAAGGAATAAGCAAACGGGGAGAGAACGCAAGGGGAAAATCGCGGCATCAATAGCAAACGAAAAACAAAAAACACACACGTAACTTGGGACAAAGTCTGAAATATTCATCACTCTCTCACACACACGGCATTTGACAAAAAAAAAAACAACAACACGCAAGAGAGTTTTTGCCCTCGTTCTTTGCCGCAGTTAACGAAAGAAAAAGTCGCAGAGGGAATTAATTCGGCTTCTTCAGCCGCTGCAAGATTTTTTCCTCGTCGAAAGTCCCGCAGAACTCACTGAGCCAGTGGGCGCCCCCGCTGATGTAGCCGCATCTTCGCGCCTTCGTTTGTGCGACTTGAGCTGCTCGAGGACGTATGCCTCGCG